AAACATGGATATTTTGATTTCCTCCTTTCTGTTTTTTTATGTCTTTTATTTTCTTCCCTAGTAATCCCTGCTAATACTTGTATATTATATCAAATGAGTGTAGTGAAAGTGAAATTCTTTGGGATAGAAAATGTTTTAATCTATTCCTGTTCAGTATATTAACTATTGGTATATCATATGTAACCTTTAAAATTTTGAGGTGTGTTTCTTCTCTACCTAATTTGTTGAGGGTTTTATCTTGAAGGAATGTTGAACCTTGCTAAATGCTTTCTCCTCATCTATGGAGATGATCGTATGATTTTTGTCTTTCATTCTCTCCACCTCCTGTAATCCCATGCTGGGGCTGCACCATTTTCTCTACAACCTTCCTGCCATTTCAGGTTTGAGCAGTTCCTATGGTTAGGGAGACACCAGGTGTCCTAAATAGCTGGATTGTTGGCAGTGCTGATCTAACCAGAACCTTCTGGCCATTAGGTCTGAGGGACTTATTTGAGTTGTAAGATACCAAAGTCAGTATTATTTATGATGTGGGACCAGTGCAATGCACTGAGCTGGAAGCAAGTTGGCTCTCAGCTCAACACATGTGCAGCTCACTGTTGTCTCTGCATTCTCAAAGCCTTTGCCGCAGTATAGAAAATGGTGCCTGATGTGCCACTCATGGAGTTCTGGATCTGCTGGCCATTAGTCCTGGGGGCTACCTGGACCTATTTTGGGTGGAAAATGGTTACTAGTGGAGTGCTGACCACTGATGTGGCTCACACCACTGCTTGCTGAATGCTGCTGGTATATTTAGTCACTGCAGCACCAAAACATTGTCTCTGCTGCTTTCCATGCCTGTTAGTCTCCAGGTTCCCCTCTGCCATTGGCCTGTCCTCTCCTGTTTCTGGGAATGTGCCCTCTCTGCCTCACCCTGGCTAATGTTTAAATATGTCCTTACTCTCTTCAGCCATCTTGATTCTCAAGGCCGTGAGTCTTGCAGAACTGGGTTAGTTAACCATAAATAAGGACAGATTGTTAACAGTGATGCAACATTGCCCTTCTGTATTGGCTCTTCAACTCATGTCCTCTTGTGCTTCAACCTTCTGCTATGAATGTCACATGGTATATGTTTTTCCTACCTTTCATTTTCAGTCTATTATCTTTACTTGTAAAGTGAGTTTCTCACAGGCAATATGTAGTTGGATTTTTAAAAAATTAATTTGACCAATTTATATCTTTTACTCAAGGAAATTAAGGCTTAGCACTAAAGATTAATATTGAGAGATTAAAAACTGATTACTGTGATTTTACACATGACACCAAAAATGTCATGTGTTTTCATAATTATTACATCTAATATAGGACTCCCTTAAGCATTTCTTGTAAGTTCAATCTTGGGTTAATGAATTCTAGCTTTGTTTATATGAGAAATACTTCTTTAGTTCTAAAAGCTAGCTTTCTGGGTCCTATGTTCTTTATCTTTCAAGGTTTTGAATATATCATCCCAGTTTCTTCTGACTATAAGGTTGTTACTGTAAAGTCTTGCTGTTAGTCTGATGGGTTTTCCTTTATAATTTGGTTGTTTTTCCCTTTAATTATTTTTAGCTCTGGGATTATTTCAAGTGCTGTACTCCCCAGATCAGAAATTCTTTCCTTAGTCCAACTCTGAATTATACCTTTTTATTTAATTGATTAGAATTTTCCAGCTATAAAATGAATTTTTTCCAAAGATAGATTTATTTTACTTGAGTTATAGAGAGGGTAGAGGGAGAAATAGAGAAAAAGATTTTCCATCTGCTTGTTTCCTCCCTACATGGCTGCAACTGTCAGAGTTATGCCATCTGAATCTGGGAGCCAGGAGCTTTTTCCACATATCCTCTGTGGGTACAGGAGCCCAACAATTTGAGCCATTCTTTGCTGATTTCCCAGGCCACAAGCAGGAAACTAGATCTGAAATGGAGCATGTGGGATTAGAATCAGTGCCCATTTGGAATGCTGGTTCCATAGGTGGAGGATTAGCTTGTGTGCCAGACGTCAAAAATTTTTTTTTGTATGATTTGAGCTCATGCTTGAATTTTTCGATATATTTTCTATTGTTTTCTTCATTTATTTTAAATATCTATTTTTTTGCATTTCTGCATTTTCTTAGCATCATTGTTTATATTACTTTTGTAGCATTTCTTTTAGTTCCGCGTTTCACTTAATATAGCAGGTTAAGATGTTTCTGCTGTGCTTTTGAGGATATCATGTTTCCTTACTTTCTGTTTCCTATGTCTTCATGTTGACCTCTGCACATGTGGTAAAATAGTTCCTTCTTATGGAATAGTTCCCCATGGAAAAGACATTTTATTTAGATGGAATGCAGTATCTTAGTTTGCTAGTTACAAGTGAGCTCAGAAGGGCAGTTTCTGAGTGATTTTTTTAATCACTATCAGCAGTATGTACAAGTGCCACAGCTGTGTAGTTTGCAGCAGTTTGTGGAGATAGATGTATTACTTTGAAGTGGATGAAGGCTTTTAAGGATGTGTATTTTCAGTAACCAGCACTAGGCTTTGTGTTGGCTGGAGCCTCATTCTTGGTGCTAAGGCACACAGTATGAGCGGTCCTGTTGTCCTGCCAGAGAAGCCAGATTGATATTAGGGATTGTGACACCAGCAGGTGGGGCTCAAGCACTGTGAAGCGGATGAGACTCCGTAGATTCTGTTGGAAGACTGTGACCTGATATTGGGACCTCTGGCAGCAGGAGCCCCAGTCTCAGCACTCAGAGTTGTGGAGAGGACTTTGTCCCATTCCTCTAGGATGACTGTGGAATTTTCACTGGCAGATATGGGTTTAGAATGCTGAAATGCAGGTAGGTTCTTCCCCAGGTCTCACAAAGTAGATTCTGGTGAATCTGAGGAGTCTAGTCCTGAAGTTTCAGGAAGCAGTGAGGCCATTTATCCAGGTGTCACTGGTGACAGCAGTTTTAGGAAACATGGATTGGCAGCTACCAACCTAAAGTAGAGAAATGTAGATAGGGTTCTTCAGGTAAAGCCCATGAGTGTGAGTTATCTCGGGTATTGTAGCGCCAGTGAAAGTCCCTAAGCATGGCACTGACGAGCACGCCCTGCACTTTTTCAAAGGGCACCATTTATAGTAGAGGTGGTGTTTGCACCCTGGGTACCCTACATATTTGTCAGAAGACATAGAGGTCTTATCCTTTTAGGTTGTTTTTGGTCTCCCCTCAGGGAATTTTTCTTTAAAAATTTACTTTAAAGGCAGAATGATAGAGAAAGGGGATCAAGATCTATAGAGTTATTTACTTCCAAAATGGCCACAACAGCCAGATCTGGATCAGGTCAAAAGCCAGGAGCCCAGAACTCCACCCAGCCATACCATGTAAGTATAGCACAACCTTGGCACTCTCTCTTGGAGATATAAATATATATATATATGCATATATTATATATATAATATATTTATTTTATGGGCTGCTGCTGCTGCTGAGACCCGAGAAATCCCAAGAAGAGGAACTTTCCTAGATGATGCATATTGAGTGAATGTGCCCAGAATTCCTACAGCTTCTGGATACAGGAGCCTGCTGTCTCCCCTGTAGTGTCTTCTGCCTCTGCAGGGGCAGCTTCTGGTAGCATCAGGGCTGCCTGCTGTGCCTCAGGGCACATTAGTTTGACAGCAGCAGTTTGGAGTCTGGTGCTTTAGGATGTGAGGGAGGCAATGTAGGCTCATTTTTCACAGCAAAGTAGGAGTTTGAACTCTGGTCAACACTCTGGGGTAGATTTCAAGTCAGTGAGGGTTATGAAATTTCTGCAAAGTTTAGGACAGCCTGTCTTGTGTTTACGTGTGTGGTGGAAGACCCAGAGGCCCCTGGAGAACTTTCTGCTTTGCTCTTCCAAGATGTCTGGCCAGGAAACTGATACAGCTTTGCTCCCTTCTGTCTGCTGTCTTGGTGGTCTTTGTTTCTGTCACTGATTTGCTAGAATTTTCAGTCTCCTGGAAACATGGTCCTCCTCTTTTTCTCTATTCAGTTACCTTGTTCTAATTTTATGTTGTTCGTAAACTGGTTTTATTACTATTTTGAATATTGATCTGTCATAAAACTGTCCCTTACTCATATGTCAAAGTTATATAGATTTCTTGATTCTAGACCTAAAAATCTCCAGTTTGATCCTATTAGCACATGTTCTGTGAATCCTAAAGCACCAAAAGGCTTGAAAGCCCATTAACTCAGTCTTGCATGATTATGCTTTTGTTTTCTTTCATTTCACCAGCTTGTTTCACATAATAAATAAAATTTCTAAAATTTTTATTTGAATGTACAGTGTCTGAATTTAACAGAAATTACTAAAATTAACTTCAGACTCCACAGAATTCTAATACTTAATTTTAGTTGTATAGAAGCACATTGTGGCTTCTATACACATTCTGTACACATTCCACTGAAGTTCTGCTTCTTTTCATCATAAGATATCAAATTTAAAATATTTAACACTGTGCAACAGTAATCATATTATGTTTATATTCAGATTTTGTTAGAGTCCCAGTAATAACGCTTAAAATCAATGTCCTCCTAATTCAGAATCCAGTGCTCATTCATTTAGTTATTTATTAGTTGTTACATGACAGCTATGTCACTTCATCTCCCTTTATTTGGAAACAACTATTCAATGTTATTTTTAAGGTAGTTTGTCTAAGTTGTAAAATTACTTGGCATAGAGGTGTTCAAGATGTATTCATTTTATTTTAAGGGTCATTGGATCTTACATGTTGTTTTGGATGTTTATTAATTTGTGATTATCTTGTTTTCAGTATAACTTGGAGTTTCTAGAGTTATTGACCTTTTCAAAGAACCAACTTTTGTTGATTTTTTCTAATGTTTATGTTTTGGTCCAGCAATATGTGATATTATTTTCTGTTAATGAGATTACTGTATTTTTCTAACTTCCTAGTTAAAATTTTAGATTCCTGGTTTTAGATCCCCTTTTTTTGATAAAATCTATTTGAGTTATAAACTTCTCTCTTTAGCTATTTTTGCAGTTTTTAATGTTATATTTCCACTATCACTGAGTTTGAAATTGTCTTGTTTCCTGTGTAATTTCTTTTCTGACCCATAGGTTATTAGAATGTGATTATCAAATATGATTTTTCTAGATATTGTATTGTTATAGATTTTAAATTTTCTTGTGACTAAAGAATATATTCTGTGATTAAACATTTTTATATTTACTGAGGTTTATTTTATGATGCAACTTAGAGTTTGTGTTGCTGAAAATACCATGTGAACTTTTTGGACTTGGTTATTACATAAACAGTGATTAGGTCAAGGTCGTTGAGAGTATTGCTTAAGTATATGCCTTTTCCTAATTTTACCTAGTTGTTTAATTGCCAAGAGAAATCTCCAGTCACTATTATGACACTGTGTACTTCTTTGTTTAATTCTGTCAATTTGTGCTCCATACACTTAGAAATTTATTATTTGAATATGTGAATCTTACGATGTCATTATTATCTCTGCATTCTTGGCCTTGAAATCTATTTATCTGTACCTGATATATCCATTTAAAGTTTTTTTTAAAGACTTATTTATTTTTATTTGAAAGACAGATTTATTTGAAAGACTGATTGACTCCCCAAATGGTCACAACAACCAGACTGAACCAACCGAAGCTAGGAACTTATTGCAGGTCCTCCACATGGGTGCAGGGGCCAAAGACATGAGCCATTGCATGCTGCTTTCCCAGTGCCTAAGCCGGGAACTGGGTGGGAGGTGGCTCAGCTGAGATTTGAACGGTTCTCATATGGGATGTCAGCAGATTCACTTGTGCTTACTCATTTGTGATTGTCTTCTGAGCTTCTAGGATTGTAAGCCTCATCAGTTATTTCTGTTACAGCATTCTGTATGAGTATGCTAAAATTTATTCATTCATTTTATTGCTAATAGATGTTTGATTGCTTTTAACTTTTACGTAGCTTGCAAAAAACTACAATGAACATTCTTGTACATATTTCCTGTTTATACTTGAGGATGCATGTATGTTGGGTATATCTGAATTTTTAATTGCTACATAAAAAGTTATTCATATTGTCAAGTTTACTAGCTGATGTTAAATTGCTTATATCTTAGCACTTCTTGATTTACTTGGTGATTTACTTCTGCTGTGTGGTTTGAGTGTTAAAATCCCCCCAAAGCAGGTGTTAAATGTTTCTTCCAGTGGGTAGTGCTATTGAGAGATGCTAAAACTTGTGGGAGGTGGGACTTTTGAGATGGCCTTAGAGGTCACTGAAGCATGCCCTGGGGAGGTACTTTCTGAAAGAAGGTTGCTATAAAATCTGGCCATGTGATGCTTCCTTTCTGACATTCCTCCTGTCATCTGCTCTTCACTGAAGAATCCCACATTGTACCATTTGGACCTTCAACCTCCAAAACTGTGAGTTCAATGAATCTTTTTCTTTTATAGGAAAGCTTGTCTCAGGCATTTCATTATAGCAATGATAATACTCATATTACCACTTAAGTTTTGATTTCAGAATTTTTTAAATAGGATGCTTAATTTTGCAAAATCTTACAAAATATTTTGTGAAATTTTAAAATATTTATAAGAAGAGTTGTTTAATTTTATTGGAAAGGCAGATATACAGAGAGAAAGATCTTCCGTTTGCTGGTTCATTCCCCATGTGGCTGAAATGATCAGAAGTCAGGAGCCAGGAGTTTCTTCTGGGTCTCCCATGCGAATGCAGGGAGATGACAAGCAGGGAGCAGAAGGGAAGTAGAGCAGCTGGGTCACAAACCAGGCCCAAATGGGATACCAGCACATATGAGGTGAGGATTCTAGTTTCTAGGCTATCACATCAGGCCCACGTTTTTAAAATTTTCTAGATGTGAAGTATATACCATGATTTTCATTTGTATTTCTATGATTGAAATGAAAATCTGAAAATCCTTTTTTATATTTTTAAACATAATTACAAATGCTTTTTATTTTATCTTTTATTCTGATTCTGTTTGAAAGGCAGAGAGAAACAGAGACAGAGAAATCTTCCATTTGCCAATTCAGCCCTGAAATCACTGAGAAGCCAGGAACGTCGCTTTCACCCTGACTTGCCCATGTTGATTTGGGTGGCAGGAACCCAATGGTTTGCACCATCTTCGGCCTGCTCACAGAGTGTGCAAGAGCAGAAAGCTGTAATCAGAAGCAAAGGTCAGTGTCCCACTTGGCAGCAGAGGTTAGCCTCTCTGCCAAATACCCACCCGTTTGTGTTTCCTTTTGTAGAAAATGCTCAAGTGTTTAAAAAAATACAATATTTAACTGAGAGTTGTGTTTTTAGATCTATTTTCATTAGGAAATACAAGTTTACAGAGAAAAGGAAAAACATAGAGAAAGATCTTACGTCTCCTGGTTCACTTCCCAGATGCTACAACAGCTAGAGCTGAGCCAAAGCCAGGGGCCAGAAACTCCTTCTTGGAACTCCCACATGGGTGCGGGTGCCCAAGGCTTTGAACCATCCTCTGCTGCTTTCCTAGGCCACAAGCAGCAGATAAGAAATAGAGCAGCTGGGACACAAACTGTTGCCCATTTGGAATCTAGGTGCTTGCCTGGGGCTGGATTAGCCAATCAAACTGTTGTGCTGGGCCCTGAGACTTACAGATTTGCTTTTAGGAATTGCTTATAAAGTCTAGATAATACATTTTTTAAAATATAATTTATTCTATTTATTAGAAAGGCAGGATGACTAGGAGAGAGATATCTTATCCATTGGTTCACTCCCCAAGTGGCAACAACATCTGAGGCTGGACAAAGCCAAAGCCAGGAGGCCAAAATTCCATCTGGGTATCCTTTATGGATGGCAGGGGCTCAAGCAGGTGTACCATCATCCACTGCTTTCCCAGGCACGTTAGCAGAGAGCTGGTCAAGACAGCATCCATGACTTGAGTCAGCATTCAGATAGGAGTTGCTGGTGTCACAGGTGTGCTCCAGCCCCTGCACATCAACACTCACCCCATGACTAGTAGTTCTTGAACTGTTTTGTGTGTAACATGTATGCTGCAAATTAGTAGCTTGTATTATCAAGTTTTTTGAGCTAATCAGAAGTCCTTGAAATGAAGTTAAATTTATTAATATTTTCCTTTCAGTTTATGTTTTTTAAATTGCTCTCTACCACCACAAATAAAAAAAACCCCAACGGTTTAATAGAGATAGTCCTTTCTCATCATCTAAAATCTCTCTATTGCTCCATTCTATAGCTCTTTCAAGAGCTCATGACTAAATGAGGGGGCATAAGGAATTCATAGATTTGGTGTTTGTTGAATTCCAAAAGTAGAGATTGAGCTCCAGAAAAATACTTTGTTATTCATCAATGTGACCCATTTGTCATTGCCAGCAGTGTGACCTCAGTAAAGAAAACATTTCCAAATCAGTGTTCCTTAGTAGTTGTGTTATTTATTTGTAGAGGAAACACATGCCAAAATACTGCCAATAGAGGTAGATCAGGTTGTCTGACGAATTAATAAGCAAATTAATAAAATATATAATTTGAAGGCACTGTTTAAGGAGAATAGAACACGAAAAGGGGGAAAACAAAAGAGGGATGGACTTAAAACCATTTTTTTTTAACATTTATTTATTTGAAAAACAGAGAGAAAATTTCACATCTTCTGGTTCCCAGTTCAAATATTTGCAACAGCTGGGGCTGGACTAAGCTGAAACCTGATGCTGGGAACTCAGTTTGGGTCTCCAGTGTAGACAGCAGGGACCCAAGTTAAACCATCAACTACTGTCTCCCAAGGTGTGCTTTCTGATTCCAAAGCTGGAATCAGAAGAGGATTCAGGACTTGAACCCAGGGACTCTGATATAGGATGTAACTGTCCCAAGTGGTGTGTTCATAAATGTATACCACATGGATTGAATAAATTACTAATGTTGAGGATGGTATTGCAGTGCATCAAGTTAAGCCATCAGCTGGCAACACCAGAATTCCATATCAAGTGTGTGGTTTGAGTCCTAGCTGCTCCTTTTCTGATGTAGCTCCTGGCTAACACACTCAGGAAAGCAGTGTATGATGGCCCTGGTACTTGATTTCCTGCCACCCTTTGGGAGACCCAGATGGGGTTCCAGGCTCCTGGCTTCAGTCTGGCCCACCGCTGGCCATTGTACCATTTGAGGATTGAGCCAATAGATGGAAGAGCTCTTTGTCTCTCTCCTTGTCACTCACTCCTCCTCTTAATCTAATGTTTCTGTTTTCCTCTGGCTACATTTAAGATTTATTCTTTATACTACTAGGTTATAATTCAGTAGTTGCAGATTTCTTTGTTTTTAATCCTTTTGTTTTTGAATTTCTTACAATCACTCTATGTTTTATGCTATTTTGCCACAAATTGGGAGAAATTTCACCATTGTTTTTTCAAATATTTTTTATAGGGTCTCTTTCAAAGGTACCAATTAACATGAATGTTAAGAGCATTTGATAATGTTCCATACATGTTAAGCATTCTGCCCTTGTTTTATATTCCCTTTGTTTTCTGTTTGTAATTCAATTTTGGTACTTTTAATCAGCTAGTCTTGATGTTGGTTGGTCTTTGCTCTTCTGTTTCCTGTCTGATAATTTCAGTGTTGGAACCATTTATGTTTTTCCCTTTTAGCTAGTATCAATACTCAATTTATCTACCAATTTTATGCCTTATGATTATTAAAATTTATCTTGAATATTTTGTATCAGAGCAATCACTGAGATAAATATTCAGGTTTAGAAAAGAGGATACCCCTTGTGATAGTCATCTTCCTGTTATGACAATGAAAGAAATACTTCAGAGAAGCTACTTTTATGTTGAGGTTTATTTTGGCTCCTTGTTTTGAAGTTTCACAGTCCGAGCTCTGAAAGGCTCCACTGACTTGGCTATGGTGAAGGTATTCTTGATGGCAGAGTCCTGACTTAGAGAATCATATGGCAAGTGGGAAACTGGAGTGTCTGTCCCTCCCTTACAAAGCCACCATGATTCAGTCATGGGAGTCCGGCTTGAAGCATCCAGTCTAATCCAATTACTGTCCAAAAGGCAAACCTTCAAATGCCATAACTAGATTAAGCTTTCATCCTCTTAATACTATTAACGTAAGGATTTGGGTAACAAACCTTTAACACTCGGGAAATGTTCCAAACCACAGCACTCCTGTTTACCAAAATGTTAAGCTTAGAGTGGTTGAATTGTGTATTTGCATTATCGTAGTTTTGATTGAGCGTGCCACTAGCTTCAAATATTTTTATATGTGAGTTTAGGCTTAGTTAATCAGAGCTTCAGTTCCTGGTATTGATCATCTTTTTGGGATATCTTTGTGGTTTGTTAGCTTTTCAAACTGTAGGAGGTTCTGAATTTTAATTCTGGAGAGAGTCTCTAGCTAGTTTGTTCACTCTGCAGTTCTTTTGTCTTGAGCCTGCTGAAGTGTCTGCTCTGCCCCTTGGTCCTCAGCCGCTGGGGGGCATCTGCTTTACTTTATGCTAAAGGCCTGTAGCCTCAAGTGGATGTCTCTAAGCTACCATGGCTGCAAAGATCTCTGATGTTTCTTCACCCTGAACGCACAGTGGCATCCTGTAGTAAGCTGACAGAAAAACCTACCAACTCTCTGGTTGCAGTCCTTTGGGATTCTAATTAATTAAGCTGGGTCCCACATGTCATTTAAAAGTATGTTAAATTGGGCCCAGCGCCGTGGCCTAGTGGCTAAAGTCTTCATCTTGAGCGCGCCAGGGATCCCATATGGATGTCGGTTCTAATCCTGGCAGTTCCACTTCCCATCCAGCTCCTGCTTGTGGCCTGGGGAAGCAGTCGAGGACGGCTCAGAGCATTGGGATCCTGCACCCACATGGGAGACCCGAAGAGCTCCTGGCTCCTGGCTTCGGATCAGTGCAGCACTGGCCATTGTGGCCAGTGGGGAGTGGACCATCAGACAGAAGATATTCCTCTCTGTCTCTCCTCCTCTCTGTATATCTGCCTTTCCAATAAAAATAAATAAATCTTTTATAAAAAAAAAATAAGAAATATATTAAATTTGCTGTTGATTTCTCCTTTTTTTTAGTGAGATTTTTTTTTGCTACATTATCACAATTGAAAATTAGCATGTAAGGCCCAGTGCAATGAGCCAATTGATGAATACTCCCTCTGCAATCGCTGGGATCCCATATAGGCACTGGTTCATGTCCTGGCTGCTCCACTTTCCATAAGATTCCCTGCTTCTGGCTTGGGAAAGCAATAGAGGACGGACCAAAGCCTTGGGACCCTGTATCCACATGGGTGACTCCAAAGAAGCTCCTGGCTCCTGGCTTCGGGTCAATCAGCACCAGCCATTGCAGCCACTTGGGGAGTGGGCCAGAAGATGGAAAATCATTCTGCCTCTCCTCTTCTGTAAAACCTGCCTTTCCAGTAAAAATAATAAATAAAATCTTTTTTTAAAAGTTAAATGAAAAATTCATGTCTCTTGTGACTGAGTTAGCTCTTGCTGAAGTTTAATTTGAGCTTTGCATTCACAGCAGTCTAATACATTAACAAAAAAGACAAGAATAGGTTTTATAGTTTATCCCAGTAGCTTTGGCGGTCAGTGCGAGAACAGTGATTACTCTTGTCACTTTCTCCTCGTTAACTGAAAGGAGAAGTAAGGGGGGACATTGCTTAATTCTTAAAGAATGAAATACCCCAGCCAGGGGGCAGGCATTGTGGCACAGAGGGTTAAACTGCTATTGGGACACTCACATCCCATACCAGAGGTCTGGTTTGACACTGAGCTCATGCCCTTGTGATTTGCCTTCCTAAGACTGCACCTGTGAAGGAAGCAGATGGTGGCTGACATATTTGGCTCTCTGCTACCCATGTGGGAGCCCCAGATAGAGTTCTGGGCTTCTGGCTGCAGCCTGGCCCTTCCTCATGCCAGCTGTTGAGAACATTTGGGGATTGAATCAACAGATTAGTATTCTCTGTGTGTCACTTTGCCTTTTAAATACACACACCACACGCACAAACACACACTTTTTTTTTAAATGCCCAGCAGTTCTTGTGTATACCTGAAGGGATTATCAGCTTCAGATTTTGCTTCAGGACTGGGTCAGTGCTAAATAAAAAGCTGTAGGGTTTGTTGTTGTTCTCTCCCCTAGGAAGCAAGATATGTGTCACCAGACTTGTTTTTCCAAAGGATTTTATTTTACATTTAAAAAAAATCACCTTTCCTGTGGTTTATGCTGTGTTTTTAGTAAATGCTTTGATGCCAGGGATTCTGCTTGCACAACTTGGAAAGGGAGGAGTAACAGTGGAGTCAGTCGATCTATGTGGATGCAAATGTCTAATAAATCACTTGCTTTTCAACTGCACATCTTACTCATACCTGGTTTTCAAGAGCTGTGTGTGACAGTTGTATCTTCGTTGATGCATTGGAAATGATTAGCATATATTTTGTATATTTCTACAATCATAGTCACTTGCTTTCAGTCTCCTAGAAAATTGTTGAAAATTCTTGTTTTGCAATTAAGTATTATGTTAGACTATAATGATAACCTCTAAAATTTGTTGAAAAATGAAATGAAAAGTACTTTGAATTTTTCATAAAATTTTTTGAGGGCCCTTTTTATTTGCTAGAAATTGAACATTTGGTTCAGTTCAACTGTTATTAACCTTCTCATCACCTTATTTCATTCTTCTTAATTTTCTTCTTATTTTGAAGTTTCACTGAAGATTCTTTAAGGATCATCCAAGGCACCACGCTGTAAGAAATGGTTCAGCTGACAGCTACTCCTACAAGTACACTTGTTGATGAGCCAGTGCATATCCGAGCCACTGGCCTGGCTCCTTTTCGGTTGGTGTCCCTTCATGCATCCCTGCAAGATGAAAAGGGGACATTCTTTCATTCCTGGGCCTACTACAGGGCCAATGAAGTTGGTGAGGTGGACTTAGATCATGATCCGGCACTTGGAGGTGATTATACAGGAGTACACCCCATGGGACTCTTCTGGTCACTAAAACCTGAAATATTCTTAGCTAGGCTGTGTAAAAGAGATGTGATGAATAGCCCCTTCAAGGTCCAGATAAAGCTTTATGACAAAAGATTATTACCAATACAACCCAAAGTCACCAGTGCACCAACGGCCAGTGTGACTGTGGAAAGGTGGTATGTGGCATCTGGTGTCACACGCATCCAGGTCCGGGAAGGTCGTATTCGGGCAAGCCTCTTTGTGCCGCCAGGTGAGTAGAATTATTCAAGTTATTGTTACTCCTATATCTCCTGTTTTGAATGATTTATCTTTCTGGAAATTCAGCTTGAATGTGTATAATATACAGAACACTCCTTTCCTGCCTTCCATCAGAATTGACAGGGCTGAAACTAGAGTACAGTAATATTTCATTCTAGCTCAACCTTCAGTTCAATAATTCTGGAGCTGTCTAAAAATATGGGTACATATAACATACAGAGCACCTTTATTATTGTGAGATTTCTGTGGCTTTGGACTTAGGTTGCATTTGTCTGCTATCTAAAGACTCAATTTGCCATTGTGTAAGTTATGTTCTCCTCCTTTTAGGGCCTCTGTTATATTGAATTTCTGTTAAAAAATCATTACCACAACAAGCTGGTAAAATGGTGAACTGAAAGATTAAGAAAATAAAGAAATGAAAAGAAAATGTATAGTTTCTAGTCCTGTAAGTGTTGCCTATTGATAGAATATTCAATAAATCAGGTAATACTTATCAGGGGGTTAACCCACTGTCTGCAATGCCAGCATCCTGTATGGGCATGCTGTGTGGCCACTTCCAGTCCAACTCCCTACCAATACTCTTAGGAAAGCAGCCGAGAATGGCCCAGTTCTTTGGGTTCCTGCACCCTCTTGGGAGACCTGGATTAAGTTCTTATTTCTCCTTGAAACAGCTTCTGGTTTCAATAGCCATAGATGTTGTAGCCATTTGTGCAATGAACCGGCAGATAGAAAATCTCCCTCTCTCTCACACTTTACCTATCAAATAAGTAAAACAAATATTTTTAAAAGAATACCAAAATACTCTTTTGTTCCTTTGCAGTAATATCCACATATTCAATAAGTGGCTTTAAATTCTTTTTATACATTTCTGTAAGTTTATTATGAGACTGAATTAAGCAAAAATATTACCAGAAGACCCCCACAGGCTCAGGCTTGAGGTGTAGCAGGTAGGTCTCCTTTGTCAGGCATGTGCTTTGATCTGGGACAACTATCAACTCACCAGAATATATTGCCTTTATTTATTTATATTTAACTGAAGAGTCTGCTCCTAGAACTGAAATGGATTGAAGATGTTTGAAGTGTAAAAGATAGTTCCTGACAACATAATGATAGTATAGAAGGATAACTAACTTTCCCCTTTAAAATGCACAGTGACTCATGGACTTTCTGAGTAAACTTGAATTCTCTCTATACACAGTAATGACCATATAAACCACTTCATAGTGGATAGGGCCCAGGAAGTGACACAAGCTACTATGCCTTTATTATCCCACCCCTATGAAAACCTGAATGTTGCTATCCTTACTTGGTTCTCCAAATGATATTTTTAAAAGAATACATTGTGTATCATTTTCTCTCTCTTCTCAGGATAAAGTAAATGTAGCAATTTTTTGAAATCTCAATACTCTTAAATTAAGACTCTCCTTTCAAATGTAGTTGATACTTATCCCTAGCTAAAATCACTTTTACAAGCATAAAATACTGCCCATAAAGATATTGTAAATTCCTTCTAGTTTGTGGCTTCTGCAGCATATTAGAAACAAACTGTCCATACAGGACATGGCTATTACTCTGTAGAGAATGAGCAGAGTGTTATTGAATGAAAGGTTTTGTTGTTTACAACCACGTGGGCATGTCATTTAATTCCTGAACAAGTACAATTTATTGAGTGGGACAGGGTAATGACAAGTCAGGACTTTAGTCAGCAAGATATTAAAACATTTTTTTTTAAGTCATGCACTTTGAAAACCTATTTGAATCTGCGGAGTTTTCTCATGAGTATAATGCATGTGTCCGTGTATGGATCGTGTTTTGCATATAAACTGAGCATCTTTATATATTTCCTAAAATCTGTATTTGTACCTCTTTCTACCTTAAGAAGCCATGACCCAGTTTCTGTGACTTTGTTGTGAAACTAGAAGTGAAGACCATTCTCCTTGGTGGCAAGGAATAAACATATCAGGGAACATTCCCAATCAAAGTTTTAGATATTGTGGTCCATTGCATATTCAAGTAGACCTTAATCCTGCCCAGATAGATACAAGGCAGCAAATTTGGAGAGTCTATTTGAAAATCTTTACATTATTACCAAAATTTGTGGTGCAATTCTGCTCTTTGTTCTGTTATTTTCTTCATCTTCCCTTTATGCACTATTCTGTTTTTATTGCAATAGTATAGTCCTTCAGCAACAGTCACAAGTCCATCATTCTGCTGTTTACATGTAGTATAATATTGTAAGTATAGACAATGGTAGAAAGTGAAGCATCCTATTGTCAAGATGTATGTAACAGTTTCATTGAGAGTCCATCTTTTATTCTGGGGTAGAGATGCATGCTGCAATGTATCTTCACTTCTCGATGTGACAGTCTCTATTACACAGTTTCTCTGTGTGCATGTATGTTTACCTATATTTCTGTTGATCTTGTATTTTGCATGAAGATTGCCTTATATCAGAGAGGCTGACAAGTGCTTTTGGTCTTTGTGGGGGTGGTATCAGTAACCTTCTTCATTGTTCCTACATCTCTTCTTTTGTCATTGGTCATTGCGACTCTGGTTAGCAGAATCTCCTCTTTAGGGCCAGTTTCTAAACTGTATTGCTCACAGGTCTATAGGTTGATTTTACTGATTATGTTTGGTACCTGGTTCTTCATATGCAGTCACTTAGACCATTCCCTCCAGCGAATGTCAGTGCCAGGCTCTTGTGCTTGGCTTCCACTGCTGTTTCTGTATCAAAGCTCCCGGCTCACCACTCTCTACCCGCTGTGATCCCATGTTGTGGCTGCACCATTGCCTGCTCAGCCTTTTTCCCACTCCCAGTTCCAGCAGTACCTAAGATTGGTGAGACACTAGCTATCCTAGATCACAAGGTTGTCAGTAGTGCCAGTGGTACAGATTTTCTTTTTCTTCCCTCTTCTTGTTGCAAACTGCTGGTCCTTAGATCTGGGGATCATCTGGACATATTTTGGGTGGAACCTGTAGAATGCCCAGTCATGTTTTCCCCTTGGGACCAGTGCAATATGTTGAGCCATAAGTGAATTCCCTCCTGGCTTAGCACCTGTTCAGCTCTTTGTTGTCCGCCTCCCTTGCCCCACAACCATAGGTTTTGCCTCAGTACACACAATGGCACCTAATGTGACAATGGTAGGGGTCTGGGCCAAGAAATCCATCCTGTTCCTGCACCCAACTGCTTGGGCTCTACCACTCTGCTTCTGCTCGTGGTCAGATTAAACAAATCAACATGAGTGGTAATTTTATGCCTGTTTTTTCACCTCTTGCTTTGCCTGGGCACTCCCCTTCGCACCTGGCTGCTGATAGAGCTCTGATCACAGATCGCTGCTGGGGTATGTGATCACTACAACACCATTCTGTTTATTCTGGTGCTTTCCCATGTCCACAAGTCTCCAAGTGTTCCTCTGCCACTGGCCTATCCTCTCATATTTCCTGGGTCATACCCTCTCTGCTTCGCTTTGGTTAAACCTTCTTTGTTCTCACACTGTTGTGCCATCATTGTTCTCAAGCACTATTCTGTTTGGTCTCATTCTTTTGCAGGAAATGGTCAGTTACCTGGAGTAATTGATATGTTCGGTGGTAGTGGTGGACTGCTTGAATCCCGAGCTAGTCTCCTGGCCAGTCATGGTTTTGTCTGCTTGGCCTTGGCTCATTGTGGCTTTGAAGACCTGCCAATCCAGCCAGAGAAAATAGACTTGGAGTACTTTGAGGAAGCTGCGAACTTTCTCCTGAAACATCCTAAGGTAAATTTGCTTCCCAGTTGATTTCAGTTTGTTTCTTTAAATAACCATCATATTCTATGATTTCCTTTAACTTTTAAATATGATTCTCAATCAGTGAACTTGAGATTCCATTACACACGCAAATTATCCCCATTACTTAGTTCTGATACCATGTCAGAACAGGACAAGTCTGTCACTTATCAAAAGGCATTAGCTTTGAATTCCAAAACCATTTGAAATAGCTTGTCCTTCTGATTCCATCCCATCTGCCTAAGGGAATTTGAATGCGTTCCTTTGTTAGAACTTTTCCTCTTGCATTACATCATTTAGTGTACTGATGCCATTTCACAATGTTATTATGTAAATTGGAGGGATATTACATGTGAAGTCTTCATAAAGGTTAATAATAATTACTGTTACTATCTGTATTCACTATTACCATCTTTATTCACTACCATCATACTTAACCAGGCAGTCTATATTTTTTGACAATTGGGTCTGAATTTATGTCTCCCATATGGATGACAAAGAACCAACCACTTAAGCCATCATGGCTATCTCTCTGAGTCTATATTAGCAGCAACTGGGTTTGAAAGAAGAATGGGACTTAAACCTGGATGCTTCAGTATGGGATGTGGGCATCCCAAGAAGCAACTAAACTGCTAGTCCACATGCTCACACCCAAACAGCTGTTTCTGGTGTGTGTGGTTCTAATGATATTATCCTTGAACTATCACCTAGGAAATGTTACTGTGCTAATCTGCCTGGCTTGGGTGGGATATGGAGAGGTTACATTATTCTGCTTTTCACTTTCTTAATATTTCCTGCATGACTTTTTAAAAACATATTTATTTATCTTTATTGGTAAGGCAGATATACAGAGGGGAGACAGAGAGGAAGATCTTCCATCCGATGTTTCACTCCCCAAGTGGCCGCAATAGCTGGAGCTGAGCCGATCCAAATCAAGAAGCCCAGACTTTGTTCAGGGTCTCCCATGTGGGTGTAGGGTCCCAAGCCTTTGTGCCATTCTCAACTGCATTCCCAACCCAAAGGCAAGAGCTGGATGGGAAGCGGGCTTCTGGGATTAGAACCAGTGCCTATATGGGATCCCACTGCATTCAAGGCGAGGACTTTAACAACTACTCTATCGCACTGGGACCTGCCAGACTTTTCCAAACCTGTTTTTGCCACCTTAATACATATACTATGGAAATTATGAATACAGGTCTAGAAATGAGATTTTATCCTATGCACAAAATAATCCAAATAATTTGCTTTCATATTGTCTGTTTTTCAGAATAATAGACCTTTGATATTTCAGTTTCTTATGTCTTATTGCTCTATTTGTTGATCTCACATGATCACTTTTTAAAAAGATTTATTTATTTTTATGGAAAGGCAGATATACAGAGAGGAGGAGAGACAGAGAGGAAGATCTTCCATCCGATGATTCACTCCCAAAGTGAGCTCAACGGCAGGTGCTATACCAGAGGCCAGGAGCCAGGAGCCAGGTCTCCCATGTGGCTGCAGGGTCCCAAAGCATTGGGCTTTCCTCCACTGCTTTCCTAGGCCACAAGCAGGGAGCTGGATGGGAAGTGGAGCTGCCGGGATTAGCACTGGTGCCCATATGGGATCCTGGGCATGCAAGGTGTGAGGACCCTAACCACTACGCTATCACACTGGGCCCACATGATTTCTATAGACTCAAAATTCCATGATAGTAAATGCAAGGGCAGTAAATTTTTTAAAGAATTACTCTTCTCTCAAGGACCAGAAGCCAACTAGATGAAGAATACAAGGTTAGACATACCTATTTTTGTTTATTCTTGTTAAAGTTTACTTCATGTTCCTTGGGTGCATCTGTTGTGAATTACTGCCTTTCCTTGCCATAATAATGACTCTGTACTGATGGGGTGGGTGTTTAGCATAGTGATCATGGTGCCTTGACTTCTCCTAACTGAAGCGGAGAATAAAGACAGATTTTCAGGATGAGCACAAGAGAAGCTGAAGTACTCAGTACTCAATTGAGAAGCTTTGTTAATCACTAGGAAGCCTGGCTTTTATCCTGTGATAGCAGGAGACTCTTAAGCAAATGACATGCTCAAGAAAAACCAGACTCAGCAATCTGACCTACAACAATGGAGACAGAAAGGCAAGAGCTTCTTATATGATAGGCAAGAAGTAGATGTATCATATATAACACTAGTACAGACTAAAAGGAAAAAGTACTCATTTATTTATTTTAAATATTTGTTTTTTGAAAGGCAGAGTTACCGAGAGAGAGAGAGAATACCAGAGATTGAGTCAACATGCTAACATTGTAAATCAGAATGAATGGTTAGAAGCACAAGTGTTTGGTTTTTGTTTTGTTTTCTTTTTTTTTTTTCCATGCTTCTGCCCAGTTTTCCTGGGAGAAAATAAAGAAGTCCCTAGGCAGAACATAATTGCCCAAGCTGAAATAGAAGAACAAAGAACAAGAGCTTCAGACCCATAAAAATCTACCTCTTGGAGACATTGCTCTTAACACACAACTCCAGGTCTTGTTAGTCTAGAAATTGTGGAGAATGGCTGTGGTGTAGACAAGTGTCCTTATGCTCAGTATAGGAAATGATTGCTTTTCTAAAAAATTGTTCATTTTTATTTATTATCTTCCTTCTGCGGGTTTACTCCCCAAGAGGTTGCAATAGCCAGAGCTGAGCAAATCTGAAGCCAGGAGGCTAGAACTTCTTCCGGGTCTCCCACGTGGGTGTAAGGCCCCAAGGACTTGAGACATTTTCTGCTGCTTTCTCAAGCCATTAGCAGGAAGCTAGCTGGATTGGACTATAATTGGCACCTGTATGGGATGCTGGTGCCACAGGCTGAGGCTTATCCTACTCTGCCACGGTACTGGCCCCAAGGATATAGTTCTTTCTGTTGGCTTCTCTTTTGCTTAAAATGAAGACACCATTCATAGCTCATTTCCTCTAAGACTCTTTCTTAGATCCTCCATTTAGTCCCTTCGAATCTGTGTTGACAGCATTGGCTATACACATTCTTGTATCATGGAATTTATAATATGCTAATCATTTTTTCCTTCTTATCTCTCTGTATGATTGTGAGTTACTTGATGTCAGAAGTTTCTTTCTTTCTTTTATATCTCCCCAGGCTTAGCACAGCATAGATGAGCTAACAGTGCTTCTTTGATGACTAACAATGAAAGAGGAAGTTGAGCCAAGGCTCCTTTTGAAATCAAGACAAATCTTTAATCATCTGTTAACCTTTCCATACTCTGTCCTTCCAATCTCACCTGCTTCCTCAGTATTTTCTATTGGATAGTCTTCCCTGATACTCCAATCAATTATACCCTAACTTGTATTATTTAAGAGTCATGTTTTCTTTATTTTCCCTCTGTTGAGGTTTACTTAGAACATTTCAACTCAGAATTCAATAAATGCTGAATATTTAGTATTCTGTCATCAAAGCTTGATACATATTTGAAGGTGTATTTTCTTTTAATTACATTATATATTTCAGAACTTCAGAGCTGGATATATGAGAATATGGATTGGAAGTTTTACTTGCTCTGTTCCAATTGGGTTGTTGGAAACAGTGGGGTTTTTCAGAATGAATTGTATAATACCTGGTTTCCATCTTTTCTTTTCAGGTCCTTGGTCCAGGCATCGGGTTAGTCTCTGTGTGCAGAGGGGCAGAGATTGGACTCTCAATGGCTATTTATCTAAAACAAGTTGTGGCCTCTGTACTTATTAATGGGCCCAACTTTCCTATTAGTGTTCCACATGTATATCATGATCTGATCCTTAAGCCTAGATCCTCTTCTATAGAATTGATACGCTCCAATTCCTATGGATTGGTAGATTTTTACCGTGTTTTTGATGAAAGTAACCACGAGGAGAGTCATTCTGCTTTTCCAATTGAAAAGGCTAAGGGCCATTTCCTGTTTATTGTGGGAGAAGCTGATAAGAACATCAATGGCAAAGTATTTGCTAAGAATGCCATAGAACAACTGAAGAGACATGGGAAGAATAACTGGACCCTGCTGTCCTACCCTGGGGCAGGTCACATGATAGAACCTCCCTATACCCCACTGTGCATTGCCTCAGCAGTCCGTGGTGTGTGTTCAACCATTCACTGGGGAGGAGAGGTGGTCCCACATGCAGCTGCTCAGGAACATTCTTGGAAGGAGATCCAGAACTTTCTCAGGAAGCACCTCACTCCAGTAGTGACAGGTCAAATCTGAGAAGACTAGACTTTCCTATGAAGCAGGGGTGTTAATCTCTTTATTAGGACTTTATCGCAGTTTTCATAGAGAAATTTGATCTTCTATTGTCTTTGCCCTACTGTAAGAAGGAAGTAAAAACAAGAATGGCAAGAGGATTGAGAAGAGTTAGAACTTGTACTCGATGCAGTGGCGCAAGTGGTTAATGTCCTCACACCTTGCATGCCTGGGATCCCATATGGGCGCCGGTTCTATCCCCGCAGCCCCGCTTCCCATCCAGTTCCCTGCTTGTTGCCCTAGAAGGCAGTCCAGGGTAGCCAAAGCTTTGGGACCCTGCACCCGCATGGAGACAAGGAAGAGTCTCCTGGCTTCTGAACGGCATAGCGTCGGCCGTTGTACTCACTTAGGGAGTGAATCATCGGACGAAGATCTTCCTCTCTGTCTCTCCTCTCAGTATATCCGCTTTCCAATAAAGAAAATAATAATAAAAATCTTTAAAAACAAAAAAAGAGAACTTGATTTTTGAAAGAGGAATGTGGTTTACACTTAACCAAACATCATATGCTGAGTTCTATATTCACAGCTATAAACTTGGAGCTCTTGCAGCCCTAGAATATGTGTCATATAGCAATTCCCAATCATATCAATTCTCATTCATATCAGTTTGCAATGAATCTCAGAATATCCTGAATTATAAAAAGGACATGAAAAAAGAAAAACCAGATACTGGCATTTTTAAATTTCCCACAACTCAAATATACTAGTTCTCTCAACTCTCCTTGAAACTAAACTTACAGCTCATGATTACTTCATTGTTCCTGGAAAACTGCAGTAAAGAATACATCTTTTTAATGCAAAATGGAAGCTTTATTAATCCGTCTACAAGCAATAGTTCAGCAACAGCAATATTTGTATGTCTAAACATGTACATTTTGGCACTTTTGGCAATGACAGAAATATAAAGTGAGATTCATATAGTCTCAATTTGAGAAGTAGCCGTGATCATGTGAGTTGTGTTCTAGATTAGAGGCTGGGAAACTTTCCTGTCACTACTATTCAGCCTGCCATTATAGCTCAATGCAACCATAAGCAGCCAAAATGAACAGTTTGAGCCTGTGATCCAAGGAAATTTTATTTATGGAAATCAACAATTGATTTCATGTAATTTTTATGTGGCACAATATAATGATTTTTTTTCCCCTCTAAGAATTTCCAAATATAAAAACCATTCCTAATCCACTAGCATTACAACAGTAGAATGAAGATTCAGTTTGGCTTTCAAGAACATAACTTGGCAGGGTGGATCAAGAGAGATCCTGACAATATATTAACAGGAGGTCATATGACCAGGGCAGGCCGGGCCCCCACAGTGGAGCTCCGGGGGAGGAGGAGGCTTGTATCCCAACCATTGAGACTACCAGATCCCCAGGACTATCAGTACGGACTCCATGGACTACATCTCAACTGCCAAAGTGACCACAGGGAACTGGAATGCCTTCAGAGGCTGAGAACTCAGAGGACATCCTCCCAGCCTCTTTGGACCAACCATGCAGATTGGTTCACATCCTTCCTTGTAGGATCCAAGGTCTTCGGAACAACAGCTAGGAACCCTGAGTAGTGCTCAGAATCAGAAGAACAGTAAACTTCCTTTGGAACTAGGGAGAGGAGCTTTCTCTGCTCCTTATTTAGTTCCAACTTTGGGTCCCCACCCTCTCTGCAATGACCATCAGGGTCGCTCTAGAGCCCCCCACCCAAGCACACACACACACACACATTGGAATGGATAGGCAGAGAACAACAAGGAAAGCTTGGTCAGCATGGACTCACACGTATCTTAAAAGGTAGGACACAAATATTAAGTACTCCTCACCAAGGTATTGAAGAATTCTCTGCACACCCCTCCTAAAACTGTTTTACACCTCAATTATTGAAATGTCATTGAAGTAGCCTTAGGTTGTTGCTAAGAAATTGCATTTAATTTTAACATTGTTTACTATGTCAATTAGTTCCATAACATAATATATTGTTGCTGATGTTATGTTGGGGCTTTTAATTGGTTGGGATTTTACTCTGTTGGCTCTACCTTCAGACCAGAGATGGTCTCCCCAAGAAGCCGTTGAGCTTATCTGGAAAATAAGATGCTGGATTCTATGCTTGGTATATGCTTGCAATGAAGGAATCTCAACTGAACTTGAACTGTGGTCACACAACAGGGGAAGGAATCCACCTTGGGCGGAGGGTTAGAGGAGGGGTGGAGGGAAACACAGTGCCTTTAAAACTGTGCACATGTTACAATGTAATCAATTTAAAAACACAAAATTGGGTGGACCTGGTGTAGCATAATTTGAATAACATTGTTGAAGATAAATCATGCAATGGTTTTTTCTAAAAGGCAAATCGTAGCCCAAATATTCCTGAATGTCTGAACTATAACAAAGGGAGGTAGAAAGCAACTAATGGATAACTGAGGTGAAGGATGAGCCAGTGGAAATGCGTTGTAGAAATGTGATAGATAATGTTGAGAAGCCAGGGAGGAGTTAGAGGAATAGAGGTAACATCAGGACACTTCACTTGCATCTGCCTAACCCCATCTCTTCTGCTCTTGGGTAGTCCATCTGCTTAAAGTAAAACTATACCATGTGGCTGAAATGATATTAACAGCTTCCCTGCTCTCCCATTGAACTGGTCAATTAGAACTCTCACTATAATGACCATATCATTGGATCAATAATATCTCTTTTAAAAATTGACATAATAGTTGTCATAATGGATATGATGTTCTTTTTTCTTGTCACAGACTTTGGAAAAGAATGTCTCTGACTTCAAGGTCTGATGTCAGTGTCTGATATGTTTCCCGTGATACATAATTTATAGATTTTTTTAACCAGGAATGTTTTCAGTTTTTTTTTTTTTTTGTAAATACTTTTTCAGCATCACTAGAAATGCTTCTGTAGTTTTTCACTGGGGAGCTATTAAAAATAAACTAGTTGAAGAGCAAATAGTGAATCAATTTTAGTAGTGGACTAAACCTCATTTTGATTATTCTTAACATTAATAAATACAGTTGACATGTGGTTTTTGTATTTTGTGTGATCTCTTTTGGTCAGGTATTAACTAATTCTGCACTTATTTCACAGGAAGAATTAATATTTTTTCTCTAATGGTTTAATTAGAATAGAACTTTTTTCTTTGTTGAAAGTGTAGTTGCACTAACCTGAATATTGTGTTATTCTGAATAAATATTTTAAGATAATCAGAACTTTAATTTTATGTCTTATCTATGGTTTAGTTGATATTTCCAACCACAGCCAGTGGTTTTCTTTTTTGACTATTTTGTATGTGAGGAAAATTAAAATGTTTAATGTAAACTGCAAAGACTTTTTAAGATGTTTATATATACAATGTATGTTATGAAAAAAAGCTGCATGGATTTACTCTCCAAGTGCCAACACCGACCAGTGCTGGGCCAGTCCAAAGTCAGGAGCCTGCAGCTCCATCACATCTTTTATGTGGGTGGTAGGGACCAAATCCATGGTATAGTTTTACTTTAAATCTGATTGCTTCCCAAGCACATCAGCAGAAAACTGTCTCAGAAGCAGAGTACCTGGGACTCCAGTTGACACTCTGACATGGCATCCAGGCATCCCAAGCAGTGGCTTCGTCCACTGTCCCAAAACTTCTGCCCCTAATCTCTGGTTGCTAACACCAGGAAGACTAGAGAAGTCTACATACATTTGATTCATTTTTAAAAATGTTTTCACATACTTTTTCGACTTAAGGGTTAATTAAGGCAGCATTCAGTTAAGAAAGGCACTTGAGAAAACAATTCATGAAGTGCTATTGAGTGATCCATATCATAGAATTTGAGAATGAAAAGGACAATCCTAGTGCAGGATTGTGCTCATTGATTGTAAAGGGGACCATTCACACACAGTGGATGAAGGCAGGGGTGGAGCCTTGTGGCATGTGTTGGCTGGCTGCTGAGAGCTTAGCCAGGAAGGCAGGGGTACTGAGCAGGTCAGCAGAAGGATGGTCATGTAGGATTTATTTAGCTGTCACTAAAGTTGAAGCAGTATCTGCTTTTAATTTATTTGAAATGTTTATTTCTTTTTTCATTTACTTGAAAGGCAGAGCTTGGGAAGGAGAGGGGTCTGGAATGGAAAGAGATAGGAGAAAGAGAAGGTATCTTCTACCTGCTGCTTTGCTTCCCCAAAACCTGCAACAGGTTGGAGCTGGGCCAGGCCGAAGCCACGATTCAGGAATTCCATCTTGTTCTCTCAAATGAGTTGTAGGTTTCCAAGCACTTGAGTCATGTTTTTTTCTCCCTCCAAAGTTGCATTAGCAGGAAGCTGGGTTGGAAATGGGTGGTCAGGACTTGAATGTGCACTCTGATATGGGGTGAAGTCATCCCGAACAGTAGTTTAACCAACTGTGCCCTAACACCCATCCCTGGGTATCTGAATTAGTGGAGGACTCTTATAATTGATTTCATATACAATTTCAAATTTAATGGATTGTAACAGAAGCCTTTTCAGTAACTTTCTGATTTCAAACAAGAAATCTAAATGTAGGTTTTATATTTAGCACATATTTTAGTTTTAGATTTCTAGAAATCTGAGTCACTAGCACAAGGATTTCTCAGATATCCTAAATTCAGTTTCTTGATTACTATATCTTATATGTTTGTCACTTTGCCATGAATAATGGGTGCATATTATTTATGTATAATCAATATTATTTCATGTATGATCATTATCATTACATAAAGTCCACACCTTAGTCAGATTTTCTTAATCTTTCCCCAAAGTTCCTTATCTGTTCCCAAATCCCATCGAGGAGTTCACATTATGCTTTTTGTCATATACTTTTTTTTTAAAAGATTTATTTATTTTTATGGAAAGGCAGATATACAGAGAGGAGGAGAGACAGAGAGGAAGATCTTCCATCCGATGATTCACTCCCAAAGTGAGCTCAACGGCAGGTGCTATACCAGAGGCCAGGAGCCAGGAGCAAGGAAGTTTCTCCAGGTATCCCTTACAGGTGCAGGGTCCCAAAGCATTGGGCTTTCCTCCACTGCTTTCCTAGGCCACAAGCAGGGAGCTGGATGGGAAGTGGAGCTGCCGGGATTAGCACTGGTGCCCATATGGGATCCTGGGCATGCAAGGTGTGAGGACCCTAACCACTACGCTATCACACTGGGCCCACATGATTTCTATAGACTCAAAATTCCATGATAGTAAATGCAAGGGCAGTAAATTTTTTAAAGAATTACTCTTCTCTCAAGGACCAGAAGCCAACTAGATGAAGAATGCAAGATTAGACATACCTATTTTTGTTTATTCTTGTTAAAGTTTACTTCATGTTCCTTGGGTGCATCTGTTGTGAATTACTGCCTTTCCTTGCCATAATAATGACTCTGTACTGATGGGGTGGGTGTTTAGCATAGTGATCATGGTGCCTTGACTTCTCCTAACTGAAGCGGAGAATAAAGACAGATTTTCAGGATGAGCACAAGAGAAGCTGAAGTACTCAGTACTCAATTGAGAAGCTTTGTTAATCACTAGGAAGCCTGGCTTTTATCCTGTGATAGCAGGAGACTCTTAAGCAAATGACATGCTCAAGAAAAACCAGACTCAGCAATCTGACCTACAACAATGGAGACAGAAAGGCAAGAGCTTCTTATATGATAGGCAAGAAGTA